AGTTTGCTTTGGAGATGTGTGACATCGAGAGAAACAATGGGTTATGCTTTCTCCGAGCATCCTGTGTAGGGGCGCCAAGTTGGACCACGTCAGCAACGCAGATAATGTGAAAGCGTGAAGGAGTGTAAACATATGATGGGCGTTTGTGCTGTTATGGCTTGAAACAACATGTAAAAGGAGAGAGGGTATATGTCAACACACCAGGCTCCTGACCCGCAGCATGACGTCTCAAGGTCAGCATCGGCATATTGAGTTATCTGGAGGAGGCCGAGCGCTGAGAGATGTATATCCAGGCCGACTATGTCAAGCTATACTCGAAGGTCTGGTTAACCACATGACTGCCGACGATCGATTAGTGTGCTCCTTGAGATCTTGTGGCCCTGCAGTTTATCGGATGGAGTTGGACGAGCGAATGGAAAGTACGGAGGTCAGGTACGAGCAACATGACAGTGGCAATGGGCCTGTGTTTGAGCCAGAACAGATCATGGCACCTCTCGCCTAATGCTCCCAGGGAGTTCAGGAACAGCTTAGAGCTCATGCCTGCGCGGACTTACTCAGGACCTGGACACTGGCCAGATACTTGAGGACAGGGATTCTAGCGAGATTGGGGGGCAGGGGCGGAGGAAAGAGTTCCGAAGAGGAGCGCGCAAGATCGCCCCTAGCTTCACCGACCGTTTTGCCCAGGACATCCAACCACATCCGTGGACTTGTGGAGCGTGCCGACGCCAGGGCTGGTTGAGAATCTCAGGCGCGTGCAAGCTATGTGACAAAAACTGCAGAAGTACAACCAGTTACCAGGGATGACACATGCGTGGTTCGTCATGAAGATGGCAAAGCACGGGCCTAGGACGACGCGTCAGGGTGTGAGCTCGATCCAGAAGTCACGTTCATGGCTCGGGAGAAGGATATGGAGTAGTGTAGGAAGCACGAGGTGCACGATAAAGTAAAAGAGGAGGAATACTGGACTGTTGCTGTCAAAACTCTCACATGTACGGTATGGTTTATCGCAACACAGGGTGGCGACGCCAATCCTGACTGCAGATCTTGGCCGGTGGCTCAGCAAGTTAAGCGCCGTTTCCGAAGAAAATAACAGTTTACTCGGCCGCCCCTTCAGTAGAAGCCCCAGCGCTGTTGTTCTCCTACCGACGGCATAAGGCATGACCAAGGGGAGCGTGAGAAAGGGCTCAAATTTGGCCTTGCGGATGGTGAGCGGACATCTTTTTACGCCGAGGACGAAAAGGATATCTTCACCAGGTTACCCGAAGGAGATCGTGAACCAGGCATGCGTGGAATATTGTTACTGTCGATGTGCGGCACGAAGTACACAATCGGCAACTGGGAAGACTGGCGGCGCACACCTCTCCGCAGGCCGCCTCCGGAGCTGAACCAGGGTCGGAGGCGTGGCGCTGCGATGGGATGAGTCCCGCCCCACTCTTCCCTCCTGCCTCCGGCATCGCCTCCCTCCCCTCCCCGCCCCTCCTCCCCCCTAGTATGCAACAGCGTTTTTTTTGTTTTGTTTTTTTTTCCTCTCTGCTGTGCGAAAAATGTAGTCAGGAGCAATTCGCACATTGTCCGATCGCGTCCCAACCAATTGTTGCATGGTCAGTGCACGTGATCTTGTTTTTCCCCAGCGAGGAAGCGTAACCAATAGCGTGGGTGTACTGCTAAGACGTGGCGACTCAGGCTATCGGCTCATGGCGGTGATTTTACTTCCTTGGGTAATGATGTTGGTTTTGGCTGGTTCGAAACAAAATTCAAACAGAAACTCGAAGCTGCCATCTGGGGCAGGGTCGGACCAGGCAAACATTTGAAGTCAGTTGGGACTCTTAATTGAATTGTTGTGCTTGCCGGGGTGTTTTATGGTAGGACGCGGATCGATGGCACGCTGAAGTCTCAGTTCAAGAAATTGGCCGGGAGCAATACAACGTGAAATGCGCGATGCCAGGTGAAAAGATACCTGGCGAAGAGGTAGACGAGGAACCATTGCCAATTCATGAAGGTAGGACATGTCAAGCTTCGGTGGCCAGGGCGAATAATTAAGACCGGTCATATAGACAGGTTTCAGTTAAGGAGCTTCCACGTCCCATGTCGCTCCAACCCGAAGGGCATCGATAATGCTTACAAGTGTGGGCGCATATTTTAATAACCACAACCGATGCGGGTATCAGGTTTGTATGGACGGACACCGACGGTGCCAGATGCAAGACACACAGAAGTCGACAAGCGCAGGAAAACTGATGTGTGAATTACACTGGTAAGGTCGTGGACTTCAATTCAGAATGTAGAGCAGAGTCTTACGGAATGACGACAGGAGCTTGAGTAGCGTTAGGACTACAAACTGTTCCAAAGACGTCGAAATTGATTGTGGTAGCTCGCTGAAGCCATTGCCATTGTTAGCGGGCGAGGGCTAGGATAAGTCTGACACGTCGAAGTTTGCTAGATCGGGTTACAAGAGGGCTCGATGAGGAGGCATCAAAGTAAGCAAGGTGGGAGCTCCTGAAGCTCTTGCATATGCTTTAACTAAGTACGAGAGCAGGGACAGCGTGTCCTTGCACATGGTAGGCACCAGCCAACAGTTGGTGAAAGCGAAGTGGGAGGTAGCACCTGCGACAGAGCGTGAACTCAATGTATTCCACACGTGGGTTATGTTTGCGAGCCGCTGTGTCGGAGACTCGAGCCCAGGATCGGTTGAGAGCCAGTTGCTCGTCTATGCGATGTTCAACTTATGTTGCCAGATCTGTTCGACGTGTTGCAGGGCTCGGTGTTTTGCGGCAGAGAAAATGTGTGCATCGCGTGTCAGGACGCCCGTGCACGTCTACGCCCAATCATGCTCGCCTTCTGATTGCACCAGTGATGCTTCGAACCACTTCATTATATTCCCTGACTTACTCGGATGGAATCCTGGCTTCGATGTGTCGTCCACTTGTCTAGAACTCACCCGTTACCCAGACGCTTTTGCTGTGAATGTCCCGCGCGATTCCACATTCGGTTTACCAGCCGAAGGGGCGGGGGGTGTTAGATTATATCGTTCCGACTGGGTGAGCAGGATAAAGGTTGGGAAAGGACGTTCTTTAGGAATTTCAGTGGTGCGCGTTAGTTGGTGGTCACGCCGTTTTGGCTCAAATGCCATTCGCTTTCTCTTGACAAAGCTGGAGAAGAAGGGGGAGGGGGAGGAGGGGGAAGAGGGAAGAGAAACTATCCCGGAGGAAGGCGCAAAAAGCAGGGAGGAGGACGCAACAAGGAGGGAGGAGAAGGAGGAGGGGGAGGAAGAGGAGAAGAAAGAGGAGAAGGAGGAGGATGAGGAGGAGCTGGACGCAAAACGGAGCATATAACGAGTAGTCACCCGAAAACGAGACCAAACGGGAGGAGGAGGAGGAGGACGAGGATGATGAGGAGGACGACGATGACGAAGAGGATGAAGAGGAGGGGAATTCATAACAAGACGAGGAGGAATAATTGGAGGAGGAGGAGGAGGAGGAGGAGGACGAGGAGGTGGAGGATGAGGAGGAAAGGGAGGAAACGGAGGAGGAAGATGCGGAGGAGGAAGAGGAGGAGGAACATGAGGAGGAGGGATGCAAAGGATCGAGGAGGAGGGATGCTACAGAAACAACAACAAGGAGGAGGAGGAGAAGGAGGCGGAGGAGGAGGAAATGGAAGAGGAGGAGGAGGAGGAGGATCAGGAACAGTAGGAGGAGGAGGAGGAGGAAGAGGAGGAGGAGGAGGAGGAGAAATAATGTAAACCCAAGACTCATCAACGACGTTGGGAGTCACTCCGTCTAAGCTACCTCTTGTAG